GCTAATTGAGCCACATTACATTTTTTTGAACAGCGCCAGATGGGCCGCTCCGAAGCTGGGACATTTTCGCCCAACTCCCAAGAAATTGCAACAATCGACAATTAGTGGGAGTTCTTGACTTATCATAGAAATTTTCGAAATTTTTTTAAAATTTSAAAATTTTGCCTCAGACATTAAAAACGAAACCTCAACAAAAAATGACTGACACCTGGCAGTGACAAAAGGCACATCTTTAAACTTGTTATCAAAATTTTGATTCAAACAGGTTTCGTTTTGACCAAATCTTGGTCACTTCAAGTGTCCCAACTTGGGATCAGCGTAGGCCGCTCAAACCCAAATAAAATGACTAGATTTTAGACTAGATAAGGGATCACAAAATTTCCAATTTAACAAACTAATGTCTTATATCTTACTTGTACTTTGTTCATTTTGGAAAAATAGAAAATTTTGAACTACTCGTATCTTCTCTCGCTACACTTTTTATTAAACCGAACTTCACATTAGGTACAAATGGTTTGGCAAACTGTTCTAATCTCTACTTATGTCCCGGATCACCATATCAACGACCACCTTTTCTTTTTCGGTATGTGGTTGACCGTGATTTTACGCAACTTTTCAGTCGGCACCCCTTTGCGTGGTTTGAAGAGATTTACCTGTAGTCCGACTTTAATCTTCTTCGTGAGCGCTCCCTGGGGGAAAACAGCCTGAACCTGGGGTACCACTGTGCTGGACACCATTCCGCCTTCAGGCCCGATAGCGTGCACCTCCTGCCTTATCCTTGAAACCACAGCGAAATATTGCGGAAAGTCCTGCGTGACAATCCTGGTAATCCTCCCAGACGACACATCCTCAAGTTGGTTCAAATCTGCAAAAAWTCCGTCACACCAAGCAAATACATACATGATGAAAGACCTTCCGCCTCAAAACTGTCATGAAGCACCTCGTTGAGGACCTCTTCAGTGGCATCCACCGTGTGRTCCTTCCAYGACTCGCCGTTGTCCGACCGCAGAATCACAATTTCGCGTTCTTTGCCACGAAGAGCGGCGAAATGCGGGACCTCAATTATTACCGGCCTGCAACCAAAAGTTATATTTTTTCATTGTTTGGTCAAAGCGGGGTTCGTACCCTAAGAATTTGGCTCCCACGGGACCCAATTCAAGGACTCGACTGGCCAAGGCCTCGCCTTCCATCAATGGAGGCGGGTGAGGGGTCCTTTGAGGACGTACATATCTGCAGGTTATTCTAGTGGGGCTTGAGGCACATCGAGGAGGTACTATGACACGGACGCCCGAATGGCGACATCCACGCATCGCCCCGCCGCGYGCGTCGACCAAGAATGACACCAAAAAGCTGRAAAACACGATTTTTGGTTAAATTTTGGCACATTTCTTCGGTGAACAAAGAAAACAAGACGTTAACACAAAACTTACTTCTTCCAGTGAAGCTTTCTGCAGCAAAATTAGAAACACATTGAGTTAATGTCAATATAAGCAAAATTTCGAAATGGCTAAAAAATTGCTCACCCGATATTGATGGGATGTTTGTCGATATCGATGTTGTCAGGGGTATATTTTTTGATATACTCCACATAATTCTGTTGTACATGTTCAGGACTAATATTGTCTTCGATGTGACGTGGTGGCAACATATTTTCGGCATTTGTTGCCATTTTATTCGAGTCTATTCTCTCATCTCTCGTGACATCAATTGGTAGCGAATCATCTCCAAGACTCTTCATTTCATCRGCCGTCAAATATCTATAAGTTTGGTCACCCAAAACGGTATCCTCTCCTGGAAACAAACCTTCAGTCATWTCTAAAATCGCAAAACATGACCGGTTTTCTGTGTTAGGTACTTCAACAAAGTAAACGGAAGAAAAGTCAGCGTGTCAGCTTGCAAATAAACCCAACTTTGAATATAACAATGAATTGTGTTGTGTGTAACAATAGTGGTCTAGACTTACTGGTGAGCAAAGTAGTACCATT